TAGGAAAAGTACCCAGTTCAGATAGCACATCATGGTCTATGTGCTCACTTATGTTGTTTCATGTGCCACAATTGGAAAACTAATTTGGCTATATTTTATGATTCAGAAAAAGTCATAACAGAAAAGACAACTGTTTTATGAGTACTATTGTGTGCTTCCACTTATCTGAACATGTGAGTAAAGACAAAACTCTTGAGACAGAAAGCAGATCAGTGGCTGCTTGAAGCTAGAGGTGGGAGTGGAGATTGACCTGGAACAGGCACCCAGGCCATTTTGGGAAGTATTCTAAAACTGGATGGTGGTGATGTCTACATTTAGCATAAAGTCATAAACTGCATATGTAAAATGAATGCATTTTATGGTGTGTAAATTATGTCCCAAAGTAGAAGACGGAGGAAGAGAAGAGCAGAAATGGTCAGTCAGGAGGGGGCTTGAGGAGACTGCTGGCAACCTGGTCACGCTGTTTCTTGAGCTGGGTATTAGCTACAAGGGAATGTTCACTTTGTGAAAACTCATCAAGCCCGTCATTGGTGCTCTGTGCACATTTCTAGATGAACATTATTACCCAGTAGCAAAATGTACCAAAAAGAAAATCAGCCAAGTTGGGGGACACCATTTCTTCTCACATAATAAAAAGTTATTCGTTTCCTGCTTATGAGTTTTTATAACTACTTCACCCTGCCAACTTAGTTTCACAATGTTGGGAGTTGAAGTTTTGTGTGTCTTCAAACAGAAAGGGTTATAAAAGGTTTATTTTATAAATATCAACCTTTTATAAGTATAAAAGGTTTATTTAGCTAATCACACAAGTGCTAAAGCCATTGTTCCTTAATTATTCATAGCAATTATCCAGGTGGACAATATTCAACTTGCAACCAAAATAGATGGATGTTTTAAGAGGTCTTGGCAGAACAATCAAATCAGTCTCAAAAAGTACCCCCCTCCCCTCCAGCCTAGTTCTCCTGCTGCCTGCCAGAGTTTCAATTCTATATTTATCTTTTCAAATCAGCAGTATAACAATTAGTTATTATAATAAGAGCTACCAATTTATTGTGTGCTGACTTCATGCCAGACTCTGCTTTGTCAGATTTTTTCATATTTTAATTGTCTCATTTCATTGTTGCAACAACCCTGCAAAAAGAGTTGTTTTATTCCATTTTACAGTTGAGGAAACTGATGCTGTGGGGTTACTGAGGGGCTGCCAGCTGCTGGTGAGGGACAGAGCAGAGAGCAAGCTGGGGTCCCACCCTGTGTACTCTCCTAGTCTAGTTCTTGACGTCAGTGATGGGAAATAAATGACATGTGTAACAGAATTCTGAATCCCAAAGCATGGCTCTTCGCACGGTTACTATAGTTACTTCTCTACATGATGCTCTCCCTTTTTGCTGAGATGACAATGAATCTACTGTTAGCCGTTGAGGTGTTGAACCCCAACCATCATCATGAAACTCGAGGGACATTTTAGTAGGTTTAAAATAGCTCTCCTGCCTTTTAATTACATCTTTTATTTCAGATGTTCCTGGCACATTAACAGATCCTATACTATGGCACTGCTGCACCTTGCACCTTGTGTAAAACACAGACACTCTATAAAGGCAATACAACCATATTTCAGAGTCTCACGAACTCCTTGACAAAACAGTGCACTTGGGTGGTGGTGCATGGGTGCCCCCTCCTTGGGTTGGGGGACGTGTTGGGTGACAGACAGGAAGATGTGTGCAAAGGCCTCAACTGTTAGGAAAGAGAGATCTTAGGGCCAGGAGAGATCCAGCTTGGGAGGAACCAGACAAAAGAGGCAGGAGCTATGCTTTGTTAGTGAATAAGCGTTCACACGCAAAGGAAGTGGTTTGAATTAGGAAAGGCACATGAAGACAACCAAAGCCTGAAATTGAGAAGCTGTCAGGGTGGATGAGAATTCAGAGCCTAGAGTTGCTTTGCTTCCTGCACAACAGCTGGTCAGGCAGGTTATTCCCATTTGACATATAAGAACAGTCAAGAACTCATGAGCTTCTCAGATGTGGCACACCAAGACACACTGGAACTAAAGTCAGAAGGCAGAGTTTCTGATTCCTGGACTGCCATAAGATGTACTCTCTGTAATTACAGAGTCATAGTGGTGAAGAGAATGGTGACATCCAAGGACAGCCACAGAGCCAAGCTCTTAGTCCTGGTGAGAACCAGATTCCTCCCCCTGGTTCTGCAGCTCCCAGCAGGGTTCTGGAAGCTGATTAAAGAGAACATTGCAAATAATAGGTAATTAGAAACCATATAAAAAGAAAAAATGCTTTTGTCAAACTTACCAAAGCGTCTCAGTGGCTGGAAGTGGGGGAGGCATGGGGAACTGATGGCAAGGGTCAGCTGTGTGGGGGTGGACCAGTGGCTGAGGCGGGAGTGCTGGGAGCGACTGGTGCTGGGGTCCAGGGACTGAGAGGGGAACTGATTGGAAATGTATTTCCCAGAGTGGGCAGCCAGTGAGGAAATAGTTAAGGAAGGCCTCTACATATCTCATGAGCAGCTGAGCTGGCAAGATGAATGGCACAGAGGCCTGTGAGGTCTGAGAGGAACAGAGGGAAAGACACCCAGGAGAGACAGGCTCCTTCTCCAAGAAAGGCAAAGTGGAAAGGGTTCCTCCACTGACCTATTCAAAATGCTCCATGAGGGGAAATTAGAAGGAGCTCAGCAGAGTTTTGGGTTCAGATAATTTGTGCAATGAGCAGTTTTAGGGTCCCTTTCTGGGATTCCTAGGGACATCCGCAGCTTGGAGGGGTGGTGGAAGATAACCAGCCAATCAGTGGACATTCAATCTTGAGGTGACATGCTTGGATTTTGTACCTCTCTGAGTAGTAGAGCAGACACCCCCTTTTCCTGCCCCCATGCCCTTCCCAATCCTCATGTCACCTCTCTTCCCAGGAGATCCTTACCATCCTTTCAACCTGTAGCTAATTGAAAAGATTCCTCCTAAGGACTTCCATTTTAATGTCCAGGAGGTGGATGTAGAAAGGGCCTTAAGGGACATAGACTCTTTGCATCGCTGCAAAACCTACCAATCCTACGGTTACCTGAGACTGGGAATGAAGTGTGGGAGGGGGCTTCCAAGTGACAGATGCAGGGGGTGGAGGTGGGCCAGATAACACCACTGCTGGTCATCATTCCAGAGATTCATCCTCCTTTGGGGACTGAGTTTCATCTGCTGGCTCCTTTTCCCATCTTGTTCACTTTTCCTCTTCAGCGCCCTTTCATTTCTCCACTTGGTAAACTTTACTATTTCCTGTGGCTGGGGTTGTCCTAGGTGAAACGAAACCCTTTGAATAAAGACTGAGACAGTTCTCTCTCTCAAGGAGGACTGATTGGTAATGGACAAATTCAAAACAGAAGGAACATTTATATTCACTAGGGGCAACTGAGCAGGGAGGTAGTTTGGGAACCCAGGGAAAGGGGGTGAAAAGACCTACATGGGTAAGGTTGGAGGCCAGGGAGATCTTCCAGAAGAAGGGGGAAGGGAAAGTGCTGCTGGTTCCTACTAGAGCTACCAGATAAAATATAGGATATGCTCATATTTAATGCAATATTTGGGGCATACTAAAAAAGTATTATTTAATATTCAAATTTAACTGAACAAACTGTATTTTCATTTGCTAAATCTGGCAACCTTGGTTCCTGATGAATAACCAGTAGTTAGCTGAAGGCATGAAGGGCATTGTGCAGAGGGAATAGCATGTTGCAAAGTTACCTGGAGGTAAGAGATTTCAGGATTCATTTAAGGAGCACTGTCCATTGGCTGGCTTATGGAACACAACAGGGAAGAGAGATTAGAGAGGAAGCACCAAACTTTCATATAGTTGTTGAATATGTGCTAAGTTCCAGGTACATTGTGAAGTCCTGGGGTGCTGTTGTGAGCTGGACAGACACAGCTTCTGCTCTCAGTGGGTTCACAGTCCAGTTGAGGAGCACTGTGGTAGGGAGAGAGAAGGGCAGGCACTGTAGAAGTGCCTGGGAAGTTAGGGAAGGCTTCTTTGAGATGGTCACAAAATGCTGAAGGATGAGTAGACAGACATGTGAGGGGCTGCGAGAAGAATGTTCAGGTAAAGGGAATAGTGAAACAGAAGTGGAAAAATGTGCAGTGGGTCCCAGAAACCAAAGAATAGCTGGTGGGATAGAGGGGAAGGGGAGGGAGGGGGAGAGGAGGAAGGAGGTTGGAGAAGGCAGGCACAGGGAATTTGGACCCAGTCTTGAAGGCAATAGGAGTCACTGAAGGATTTTAAATCAGGCAGGGTGATACAACGAGCCTTGCACACTTGGAGGCGATTCATTCTAGAGACAGGACAGTGCATGTGTAGAGTGGGGTGGAGAGCCAGGAGATCCCAAATAGGACAAGTTAGTGGTTTGGCCTGCATGATGGTAGCAGGGATAAAAAGAGAGAGAAGGGGAAATGGATCCAGGCAGCACTGAGGAGGAAGACTTGGCAGGAGTGGGTTATCTGGCACTGGGAAGTGAGGGGGCGGGAGGAGTAGGCATGACTCAAAGCTTCTGGTTTGGACAGATGGGCAGATGGTGGCGACATTTGCTGTGCTGAGCTGGGGGACTTGGGGTTTCGAGAGTGGTGAGGCTGGAGGGTTCACAATTGCACATGTTGAAGGTGAGAAGGTGGTGGTGGACCATCAGAGCATGGAGAAGGAAGAGAAAACTTTGGGAAGCCAGGCACAGTTGTGTTTCTGTCTCTCTTCCCACACTTAGCTGTGCAGCCTTGACCAGTGACTTCACCTCTCCTTGCCTTATCTCATCTGTGCCATGGGACCATGTGGTAATTTGCCCTCAGAGCTTTTAGAAGGGTATTATTAAGGCAAGATAACCTCTAAGAACCACACCTCCCTGCTGGTAATCATGCCCTTGTGTGGTGCCTTCCCACGCTGTAATAGATCTGTGAGACCAAGAAAATATGAGTATGTCGTTTTCAAGGCTGGGTTGTAAAAGACACTGTATTCTGTCTTGCTCTGTTTTAGATCGCTAGCTCCGGGTAGACCAGCTGCTATGTTGTTGTCAGGAATGCTTCATGGGATAAGGAATCCCTGCATCCTGCTAAAAGTTACATGAATGAGATTGGAAGTGGATTCCCCAGCCTTAGCCGAGTCTTCAGATGACCAACATCTGGACTGCAAGATCTGCTGCCTAGTAATTGACTTCCAAATTTTTGATTCACTGAAACCATGAAATACGAATTGTTTGTTGTGTTAAGCCCCTGTGTTTGGGGACAGTTTATTACATGACAATGAATAACTGATACAGAAGGCACACTGAGCACAGTGACTACTACATCATAAGGGCCACGGCAGATGCCACATCTGCATCTTCACGGTTCAGGAGAGAGGCCTGAATTGGATATGGGAATCTTTGGAATTAGAGACAATAATAGAATCCAAGAAGATGACTGAGTCAGTCCCCAGAGAGAGGTAGGTGCATGGGAGGGGAGGGTCTTGGGGTGAGTAAAGTAAGCTAAAGAGCTGGTTGATTTCTCTGCTGAAATCAGCTCTGCCCATCTCCCCACCTGGCTGCCTACACTGATCCTCAGACATGCTGCCGTCCCCTCACCTCCCCACCAGACTGGACACTACTTTACATCCCTTACTACTGAGTGGCCTCCCTCGCCAGGCAAGGCACGGCAGGGTGGTATTCTGGCCACAGTCCTGGCGTCCAGGATTTCCTTGGCCACTGCCTAAGAAGCAGAGGGCCCTGCCCTTATTCTTCATCAAATTCCTATATTCATGTGCCTCCCAACATATATCATAACTTGTCATTATTTTGTCTACTGTTTCCTCGGTCTTTTCTGTTTGAATGTCGTCCCCCCTATCTTGGAAGCAGTTGTAGCACCCAGGTCTGGCACATGGTCGGCGCCCCATATACAGGTTCATGAAATCACAGCAGAAACAACTGGGGACTCTAGGCCCAAGAACCCAGAGACGACTGGGCACGGGGCTGGGCTGAGCCTAAACTGGCCGCGAGACCCAACTCCCGGGCGTGTCCTCAAGGTTTA